GTGCTGATGCCTGGAGAGGGAATTTCTGATAAAGCTATGGTTGGGAGGGTGAAGAGAGTCCAGGAGTGGAGAGTGGAAGTGGTGCTTGAACCCCTCGAGGTGTTAATGATGATAATGGAGATGGGAGTGAAAGGTGGTGGAGAGGCTGAGAGCTGGAAAGGCATCAGGAGTGGAAAGTGAAATTAGTGGAACAGGGGAAAAAACAGGGGGGGGGAAATCCCCAAAAGAGCCAGGAGGTAGAGAAGGAAGAGAAAACAGACCAGGAGTGTGACAGGAGGATAAACCTCACCAGAACCAGGATGTGATGAAAACCCCTCCAGAAACAAAAGTGGAAATGAAAAGCCAACACCAAGCTGGAGCAACACTTGGAACTCCTTTTCCCTTTCAACCCAGGGTCAGTTTGTCCCAGCTGTCCACCAGCAGATGTTGCTGGTGTCCTGCCCTCACAGACCCACTCCAAGCTGATCAGGATGTGTGTGTTTATCCCAGGAATGTGGCACCTCACATGGGTCAGGCTTAAATAACCACAGAAAGGGAAAGAGGGATGCAGGAACTTCTCCTGCCTCTCATAGCTGCTTAGCTCCTCTTTGGGGGCTTCACCATCCTCTCACCCCCCACCCTCCCCAATCTGTCTCTGGCTTTAAAACCTGCACAGCAGGGAAGCGATTTGAAGTAAAAACCAGATAATTTAGCCAAACTGCTCTGAAAAGATAACCAGGGATCCCACAGGAGGCACCTACAGGCACCTTCAAAGAGGCATCAGAGTTACTGGGGGAGCAGGACAAGGCAGGCTCGGTCTCTAGAAAGCACCTGATTGTGTGTCATATGTCAGGCAGCCACCCAAAGCTGGAGCACATGGTGTGGGATGAGAAGAGGAGCCAATTAGATTGATTAAAAATTGGCTGGAGCGCAGGAACACGAGGGGAGCTGCCAGTGGGGGAAGTGGCCGCAGGCGGAGCGGCCGCAGCCACCCAGCCTTATAAGGAGCTTTTTCTCCCCATCCTGAACCTCAGTCACCTCGGGAAGGGCATTCCTTGGAGCTGAAAGGGTTAACTGTGCTTTAAATGTGGTGTGGGGGCTCAAGGGGAGAGTCACCTGTCACAGAGTCAGGCTGGGCACCTCGGGATAGCACCGGTGGGTGCCCAGGTGCTGCCCTGTTTGTGCCGCTGCGGAATGGCCCCAGCGCCGATCCATCTTCGCTCCACGTGCTGCAGGCAGAGCTCTGCTCTGGATTATGGCAGAGTTTACACTGGGCAGCAGCAGAAGAGCACAGCACAAGCCCCAGCCGGGCTGGATTTCCAGCCCCCGCTGCTGATTGACACAGCCCTGATCCTTAAACCACACGGCTGCACGCAAACCCACCCCTGCTCGGAGGGTCTGAGACCTCGGGTCACCAGATCCTGAAGGTTTCCAAACTGCTCCAAAAAACCCCAAACTCCTTCCTGCTGAGAATCGAGGGTTATTTTTCCCTTTTGCAGCTGCCCACTTGGGATTTGTCCTTTGGTTGTTCCCACTGCTCAGCTCTCCCAACCTGGCTCTGTATCCCATGGTTGCAGCAGCTCGTCCTGGGAATGCTCCGGAGTGGGGCCTTGCCAGGATGGGAGCTTGGCAGCTCAGGGATGAAATCCACCTTCAGCCTCCCCTGCTTCACACCCTGGCCAGGAGAGATGCCACCCCCACCTTGGGGACACAACTGCCTCCCCCGTCCTCCCCACAGGAGCTGAAGCAATGATGCTGCTGCTCTTGGCTCCTTCCTCGCCTCTCCCACACTCCATCCATCACCTGGGATGTCACCTGCCAGCTGGACAGGTGTCCTCATCCCCAGCACAGGGGCTGGCGGGCAGCAGGACCTGGCAGCTGGGGCACAGCCCCTGGGGAAGGTGACACAATGTCCCCTGGCAGGGGAGGACGTGCAGAACAGCGCCCAGGGGACGCAGATGGGAAGGGACAAGGACTCAGGGGGGCTGCATGCCTGCTGTTCCCGGGGGCTGCTCCCTGTTCCTGGCAGCTCCAGCTCTCCTCTGCATGAGCCACGTATCCATTACCCCTCTGTGTCACTGTCCCACTGTCACAAACCCTGCTGCTGCGAGGCACACACAGCCCACCCTAACTGGAGGAACTTTTAAAGACCCTGGGCATAATCCCACCCTAAGGAGGAGGCACAAAAACCCCACACCTGCCCAAAAGGGGCCCAAAGCTGGCAGCAATCTGCTGTGTGCCAGGTGGCATGGCCAGCGGCAGGGAGACACACGTGTTTGGGGTGGGGGCGAGCCAAAGGCTTCCTACACCCCATAAAACAATCTGCTGCATCGGGGCCAAACACCTCCAGGGACCCCCCCGGGGCTCTGGGTACCCCGGAGCTGAGCCCCATCCCGTGCTCCAGCATTGCTCAGGGAGAGCTGGGAGTTGCTTCCTTCAATTTAATCAGGGAATTAGGATTTTTCATTCATGCAGGTTGCTGTCCATGGAAACAATTCCAGCGGGTCCGACAGCCCGACACAGGTGCCACTGCTGTGGTGCCTTCCCTTTTCCTGAGGGGCAGGACATTCTTTGTCCCCAAGGGCACGGACCTAAGGGGGCAGGACATTTCCTGTCCCCAAGGGCAGCTACGCTGCGTCCTACGAGGCTTTGCATGGATCATGGATCACTGCAATGTAGATCCACATTTTTCCCTGCCTCTGACCCCAGTCCTGGCACTCCAAGTGCTACAGGGGACGCCTTTGCTCCCAGGTGCTCACAGCGCGGGATGGAAGAGTGGGAAGGAGGGAAGGATGATCCCCAGAAAGGAATGGGTTGAAGGAGGGAGCTGAGGTGCTGCCAGCACAGTATCCCAAACCCCCACCTCAGCAGGCACAGACGGAGAGCACTGAACAAGGCACAGGGAAAGGGACTTTTCCCGAAGGAAAACAGCCCGGTGCCGCGGAGGAGGCTCCGCACAGCTGCTGTGGGTTCAGGGACTGAGCAGCGAACTCCTCACAGCCGGGAAAACCCAACCCCAAGCCCGGCTTTTAGGAAAGTTCTCCCGGTCAGTGATGTCCACCCCAGGCCCCCACGCAGCCGGGGACCCCTCGGGCAAGGGGACTAGCCCCGGTGCAAAGTGTCCAGGTGGGAAACTCGAGGGAAAGGAAACTCAGTGCCCTGAAACCCCACGGGTTGGGGGCGCACCGGGAGAATGTCCCTCGTCCCGGCTTCCTACGGGACATGGGAAGATTGGTCCCTCTGGCCGGGAGGGGGAATACCGGGGGGGTGCTGGGGGGGTGCCAGGGCAATGCCAGAGGGGTGCCAGGGCATAGCAGAGGGATGCAGGAAGATGCCAGAGGGATGCAGGGGATACCGTGGGGATAAGGGGGAGCCCCGTCCTACCTGTCTTGCCCACGGCGCTCTGTCCCAGCACGACGAGGCGCAGGGTGCGGGCCGGGCTGAGGCTCACGGAGCGGCGCAGGGGCCGCGGGAAGCTCATCCCGGAGCCGGGCCGGGGCTGCCCCGGGATCCGCCGCTCCCCGCTCCGCCGGGCGCTGCTCCGCCGGCTCCGCCCCGGGCGGGCCCGGCTGATGCCCTCCTCCTCCTCCTCCTCCTCCTCCCTGGCTAGCGGAGGCGGTCCTCATCCCGTCCCGGAGGCGGTTCGGGAGTTGTGCCTCAGTTTCCCCGCAGGCAGCAGCGCCGGCCAGCGCTTCCCGGACCGGGAAAGCTGCTCACCCAAGAGGGGCAAAGCCACGGTTGGACGGGGCTAGGAGCCACCTGGGCTATGGAAGGTGTCCCTGTGCATGGCAGGGGGTGGCCCTGAATGGGCTGTGAGGTCCCTTCCATCCCAAACCTTCCTGGGATTCCCTGAGTCTATAAGAGTGAGGAAAGAGGGAAGTGGTGCAACACCTCCCCAGCCAGAGCAACACAGCCAGAGTGCTGCCTGCCCCTAAACTGCTGCCTGAAACCATAATTGTCCCCATGTTTGTGCATGAGACAAGTTAGTAAAGACAAGAGGAGCTGACCTAGCCCCAGCCTTCCCCCTTGTCCCACGAGCAGGGCAAGGAGTGAATCCTGCCTCAGCACAAACCAGCGACTAAATCCCCATGGATATCCAAGAGCAAGGACTCCACTCCAGGCCTGGCACTGAACTTTGTGAGTTCTGGGGCAGCAGCACCACCAGGCTGTTAAGCAGCAGTTAAGTGAGGGTGTCCCCAGGTGTGCAGGGAACGTGCAACAGCTCAGAGCAGTACCTGGAGCTGGCATGATGTGCCTTGGGCATCTTGGGGTGAAGGGACAAGCCTGGCAACACCTTGAGCAGCATCTTGACTCTCCATCAGACCCCAGAATGCTTCTAACCCATGGGACACAGATCCCAGATGACACCAGTGCTGCAAAAAAAGAAGCTGGGAGAAGGGACCTGGCCAAGGGTGTGGAGCCTTCAAATGCCCACATCAGGGACTCAGTCCCTTCTCCAAAGGTTGCAGTCATTTCTCTGGCACAGGGATCTCTCAGCCTGACCATCTGGGGTGACTTGGCACAGCCCACTCAGTGCTTGAGGGAACATGAACCCACCTGGTATTTATAGCTCCTATCAGGTGTCCAAAGGGAATGTCATGGTGCCGACAGGGACACTGGCACTCAACCAGCCACAGGGTTATTGGGATCACAGCTGCTGCCAGGAGGATCAGTGCTGGAGGGAGCCCCTGGATAACACAGGGACTGTGGTGGAGAGCCTGGAGAGACAGCAGGGCTCTCCCAGAAACCCATCTTGCCATCACATGTGTCTTCCTTGTGCATCAGCCCCTGGAAACAGTCCTGTTCCGGCTTCTCCAAAGGCAAAAATCAGGCTCATGGCTACATCTGGGGCCCAGAAAACTACAGCGAGGCAATAAACAGATTTTGGGACAAAAGCTGATTCCCAGCTGGGGAATGGGGGGGCGTCAAGAAAAAGAAGTCTCCGTTACATTCCTTCCCTATTTTTAGCCCCATTTCCTACGGAAATGAGATGTCTGCAATCAAGTCCTCTTCTTGCTTGATCCTCTCTAAGACCAGTTTTAATACATTGCCTGATTCCAGGCAAACGAGGGAGAAGCCACAGAGAAAACCCTTTTCCTGCGAGTTGTGTGACAACAAATGGGCAAATTTCATGGAAAATCGACCCTTGCACTTTGGAAGGCAGGAACTGGCTGGGGGAATGCAGAGTAACAATTCCTGCTGCACCAGGTTCCTGCTGTGCTCGCCTCAGGTGCAGCACCTTGGCAGCACAGCCCTGGCAGCTGGGCAGTCACACTTGCCTTGATTCCAAGTGTGTTAACAGCACATGGATTCTTGGGGATGAGGGAATAAAGGGACAAGAAGGACAGAATTAAAATAGAAGCACGGCTGCACTCATGCCACAGACTTCCAATGTCACCTTGGGAAAATCAGCTCCCTTCCCACCACCTCCATGAGGGAGGTGACCTTCCAATCCAACACCAGCTGCTCCAGAAAAACATATCCCTGGATTCTTTAGGAAAAGGGTCAGTGTGAGTCCCAGAGCTGGGGGATTCGTGTCCCTGACAGCACAGCTGGGAGAAACTCCTGCTCCTCAGGCACAGCTCCCCTTGGCGTGGTGGAAACCACATGCACGTTCCCACAGGAGCACTCAGCACCACGTCCCACGCTTGCCAGGGAATATTTGGCTGGGTGACAGTGGAAACAGGACGTTATCACCGGTGATCGCTGCGTGATCCACCTCCGGCACTCCACAGCAGAGCGGGGTGGGAAAGATGCAGGAGATGTTGTGTCCTGGTGAAATATTTGTGGTCAGGCTCTTCCATACTCCCCGGTCCTTCAAGACACAAGGAGCCTGCTCTGGGAACCAAGCCAGAGGCTCCCATGAATCACAGCCCTGCAAAGAGAAAATCAGCTGAAATGAAAAGCTGGCCTAGAGCAAAGAGCCAAATCCCTCAGGCCGTAGCCTCGGATGGAGGGAATCCTGTTCCATATCCCAAACCACTTCCCTGCTGGATCGTCACTGCTTTGAAAGCTGCCCAGAAACTGAACTTTGAGGCTTTTGAAACTGGGCAATGGTGTTTTCTTACGTAGGAAAGGAAGATAAAGGAACACCAGTCCCTTTTCTCTCCATGAGATGATCCAGAGGCATAGAATGCCAACAGATCCATGCAGGAGCCAACTCCAGTTCAAAAATGATTGAGGTATCTCAAGCTTTGGTTCCCCAAGGCTTAGCTCCTCTCCCAAGCCTCCATTTGAAAGGCTCAAACCCTTTTCCAGCTCCTCCACCACATTTAATTACCACTCATTAATTAGTGCACAGACATTCTCATGTGCAGCTCCATCAGGGAACGCTCTCCAAGGATATAATCAAAGCCACGCTGCCCTTTGCTGCAGCAACCCAAAACATAAAAAGCCCATAAACATATTTTGGGCTGCTGCAGTAAACCCAGCACAGCCAAGAGTCCTCCCAGCCTTCAGCCCCTCACCTTCCTTGGTTCACTCTGTTCCTTCTGACACCAATCCTGCTGTGAAACTTCTGCATTCACATCCAGGACAAGGCACAGGGACATAGATCCCAGTTGCTTCTCCATTTGCTATAAACAGGGAGAGGGAAAACAGATGAAAGGCCCCATGTCCAGGCGTGCCGGCCACAGCCGGACTTCTCCATGTGGGATTTGCATCAACACGGACCCACTGGGAACACGTTCCCTTTCTTTTTTAAATAAAAGGCTGGTTTTTTAAGTCACAGGAGATAATAAAACCTCTAGAGCAAGAGAAATCCAACCAAGAGAGTTTCCTGATGTCCTGTTCCTGTCTGCCACTGAAGCAGATTCCGACACGCGGCTGGATCATGCTGAGAAAACAAATCTGGCTCCACGTCAGAGCTCAAGTTCTCCTTCCCAAAGCTGTGAGGGATAAAAAACACAGGGAAGGGGCAAATTAACAGCACTTCCCTCCCACCCCAGGGCCTGAACAACATGTCCCCAGAGCTTTGCCACTGGATAAACACCGGCAGCTCATGGCTGGCAGAGCGTGTGATCCAAATGTCCTGACGGAGCTGCTAAATCCCTCTGCTGCCCCGTGGCTTCCAAAGAGAGTGTCCTGCACTTTGTTTTCCCGCAGGAGCTGGCTGTTGGGAAGGAGGACACAGCCACAGACCCCGTCTGTCGGGCTCCATCAGACTCCACAAACAGCTCCTCACAGCGAGAAGCTTCCCACTGTGGGAATGGCTCCGCTTGGGAAGCTGATTTCAAGAACACAGAGATGCTGGGGGAAGGAAGACAAATCCCATCCTGGAAGTAATTTAAACCTCCAGAAACACTGCAAGAAGCGATCCTGTGGGATGACCAGGGCAGGGCTGTTTTACCTTCAACCACAAGAAGGATTTTATGTGAAACACAAGTCCAAGCCCCTCAAAGCTGCAACATCCAGAGCACTGGAGGGGTTTGGAACAGCACCAACATTTGAAATTGTGGAAACCTCGCTCCAAAGCAGCTCCTAAAAGCAGCTGGAGCTAAGGGGAAGGGAAAAACCAGGAGCCACAAAGGCATTCTGGTGCCATAGGCCACTCTTGAAAGGGCAGAGGAGGAGGTCAGGGCTGGGATCAATGCATGGCACACAGAAATCAGGGATTCAACCTCTCCTGCAGAGGGGAGGGCAAGGAGGGGTTTTGGGGGACACACACCTGGGATCCAGGGAGCTGCAGGGCCAGGGATCCGCATGGCATTCCTGCCCCAAACAAGGGATGCCACGGGGAGCCGACGGAGCAGCAAGGGCACCTCCTGAATCATTCCCACCAGCTATTCCGGAGCAAACCTTGCAGCTGGCAAGAAAACAACGCTTCCTTATGATGGGAAATGTCAGGGCTGAGGAGCCAGCTGTCCTGCTGCCGCCGAGCCCTGCCGGCATTCTTGGAAAGCACAGCAGGAGCAGCACAGGCAGCGGCTTTGTGGCCAGCGGGCAGGGATCAGCGCTGGAATTCACTCCCAATTCCCAGCACATGCCCTCTGCTCCGGCTCTCCAGCCTCCCTCCCGGGGGGGACAGAGGCCACAGGGGTGGCCAGATCCCAGGCCTGCTTCTTGTCTGACCTACGTCCATCTTCAGCTTTGGGCAAAGCATCTCAAATTCCACCCGGATCTGTTTGGTCCTGGCAGAGAAATTTCCACCGTGAATCAATACTTAAGGGAAAAAATCCTTGCATTTTCTCGACCTGTTTTGTTGAGGAATTCCTGCTCTTAAACTATTTCAGTGCTATTTAGCACCGGGAAGGGTGACAAGGATCATTCCCCTGAAACTCCGTGGAGACCTGTGACTTCATCCCTAAGAGCTGGGCATTCCTGCTTCCACTTGGAATAACAAAAAGCTTTTGATTCAAATTCTCCTGAAGAAAGCTTTAAAATAATCCCTTTTTACCTCAGTCTGAATAAGTAATTCCAACAAAACCTGCCTATTTTGCATTACAAACTTTTTTAAACCAAAAACTTCCCAATACTGGTTGGATTTTCCCTTCTTGAATTTCTGTCCCCCAAAAATGCTGTGAAACCACCCCAATTTTATGTAGTATCTCAATTTGATCAGAACTACATTCCCAAGGGCTTTTTGGGGGATCAGATTTACAGAACTTAAGCCCTTTGCTTTTCCCTTGACTCCACAGCAGCCTCTGCCCTCCGTATTGTTGAGCCCTGAATCCTGTGTTATTTCCAAGTGTTTCTTCCTATTTGGGAAGGACAGAACATTCCTGCTACATCCCCTGAAAGCCAAGACATGCTGTTTCTTAGCCCCAGCACTCAAACACAGAGGCACTGAGGGTTTCCAGTCCAATTCCTTCGGCTGGCAATGCCGCTTCCGCTGTGGACCGGGAACAGTCTGCATCCGCAGGCTGTGGTCCCTGTGCCAGCCCACAGCACACTCTGCCTGCTGCTGGGATCTGCTGGTCCCAGCATGGAACTGCAATCACCTGTGGGAGAAGGGGGAGAGGTGGAAGATGATTTTTGGAGGGGCCTTCCCACCCTCTCCATTGGGAAGAGGTTGGGAACAAGGATGCGACGATCCAGGCTGTCCCTGCATCTGCAGCTAAAAACTGTGTGTTTAACCTCAGAAGCAGGGAAAGAGCAGCATGCTCAAGGGCTATTTGTGCCAGAGGATCTGAAATGGGGAGGGCTGAGTCCACCCCTGCAGATCCAGCTGTCTCCAGTGGCTGAAGATCCCTGGCACACCTGGATCCTTCTCCAGCTGAAGCTGAGATGCAGCCATAAATAACCACAGTGGTGCCTGAAGTGATCCCCCAAAGGAATTGTGAGACTGGACAGCCAGGGCCAGCTCCAGATGGAACAAACTCCCATTTCCCTCAGCACAGGGCTGTGGCAATCTTTTTTCCAGGAGGAGCCGTGGTGGGTGTGCAAAGGACACTCAAATATGGTTTTACTCCCAATGTGAAGACAGGTACCCCCTAGGGAAGTGACAAGGTGAGCAGGACCCGTTATCCCTTCCCATGGTGGCAATTAGGAGCCCTACAGTACAAGAAATTCTAGGAAACTTCAGGAAACTCTCCTCCTGGTGGATATCCAACCCAGAAACACCAGCAGACTCAGCAGGATCCATCTTGGCCTTGTATGTGCTGCTCAGGAAAGGACAGTGCTCAATGTGCAGCTACAGAAGAGGGAAAAGACCAGGATCTAGACATGGAATACACTCAGCAGGTCAAAACTCAACTCTGAAATAGGCACCAAATCCCTCCTGAGCCACCAGTGTCTCATTTTGATGGTGCTACACACACACACACAATTTATTGCTGCTCACCTTCAAGAGGGGAATTTTTCAGCTCTACTTCCCAGCACTAATCGTTAAGATGAATTTTCACCCCTTGGCACGATTTGGGAGTAGATTTGAGACTCTGCAGTCACCTGGTTTCACTGCTCTCTTCAGTCCCACAGGCTGAGGGCCACGCTGTACCCCAGGATATTCCCTGGAGCCACGCAGTGCCAGGAATTACATGACCAGAATTCCTGAATTCCTAAAGTTCAGAGAGGTGCGGAGGCAAAAAGATCCATTAGGCATAAAATCCTGGCTAGTTTAATAGCAATGGATCGTGGGTAGTTTAAAACTCCTGGCAAATAAACACCAGCAAGGCTGAAGCAACACTTAAAAAAATATTTCATTATTTTAAAAAGAAAGCACATAGAGATTTCCATTTCCCACCACAGCAATAAGTCCAGAACTTCCCAGTGCCGAGGCAGTTTTATTTCCAAAATTGCCTGGAGCAGCAATGATTCCCAGAACACCTCCCCAGTCAGGACAAGCAGGGGTAGATTTCGATGGTGTTGATCCTGAGGACGGTCTGGGGGTTTGCAATGACTGAAAAAGAAGGAAAAGGGGGGAAAAAAGGATCAGGTAACAGCATAAATCTGGTGCCTACCTCATACCAGGGCTCCTGCTGGCAGACAGTGGCATTCCACGGGGATGCCAAGGACAGCAGGTCCCAGAGGGCAGCCTGGTCAGGGCTCTACCATCCATCCCATATAAAAACAGCCTCAGAGAAGGAAGAGTCATTTGGCAACCAAAACCTGTGCAGGACCCTGTTTGGGCTTGCTGGGAGCTGTGATGACACATCCAATGTTTAAGGCTTTGGGAAGAGACTGGGATTCTTTCCTGCCCAGGAAGTTTAGGGAACACTGAGTGAATATTAAATCCTCTGTGGGTGCACCTGGGAGAGGGGCTGGCCCCTGAGTGGCTCTGGGGACATAGAGAACAAGCCCTCCCCTCAGGTCCTTGTGCTGGGACACCTCCCCTCCCACAGCCAGCAGGGAAGGAAATGTGTCCTTTCCCCCTTACTTTTCTTCCTCTGGAAGTTGTGTCTCCTCCAGAAGCGCATGTTGACCTTGGGCCACGACTCCGTCTTCTCAATCACCGTGGCCTCCACACGGACCAAGTCCTTCCTTAAAAAGGAGAGTTAGAAGCACCAGGTTTTAGTTATTTACATCCTATTGTTGTCTCTGCTAGAAATGAAGAGACTATTTTCAAGCTAAGAATGATTTATTTATCAGATAAACATCAATCTCAGAGGCTGTGACATTTTAGAGGAGTAAATATTAGGTCACAGCTCAAGAGCAGTCACAAGTTTCTTTGTTACAAGGTCATATATTAACTTTGTAACTCAATAGACAGTTGCCACAGGGTTTATTTTGCTTTTCTAACTTAGCACCTTTACTTCTGCTGCACTGCATTGGATACTTTCATTCAACGAGTTTCTAACTCACAGGCACACATATGTTTTTATTATAACTTTTAACAACTACACCCTTATAGTATTAACTCTTCACTGCCTTGTACAGTTTCTCACTCACTTAAGGTACATTTTCACCTACAACTACAGAAACTTAAGGGGTTTTTTGTTTGTTTATTTAATATCTGTGTATTGCCTTTTCACATCAATCTAAGTTTCTTTTAAGGCTGTAGATCAAATTTTTTAGTGTCTGTGGAAGTTTCTGTTTCTCTGATTCTCAGAACATCCTATTCTTGGGCAGCAGGTTTCTGGGAGAAGAGACAAAGGGATAATACATCCTAGGAATTCCAGATCCTCCCTGGGAGGAGGGCCACCTGCCCAGGCACAGCCAAAAGCCTCCAGGTGCTGTACCTGGCTCAGGAGATGTGACAGATCACAACTTCCCTGCCATGTGAGGGGTGAGATCATTCCATCAGAGCAGGCAGCAGAGATTGGGACCTGCAGGAACTTGCAAGACTGAGGCAAGATTGAGGCAAGATAAATTCCCCTGGCACCTCCAGGTGATGCCATGTGCCCTGCTTTGGTTTTGGCACAGGATGAGCCCATCCCTGCTCCTGGTCACCAAGAAATCCTTCCTCCCCCTCTAAAGCATCACAGACAGCTGGAAGAAAATCTCACCTTGTTGGAAACACTATAACTTTTCCATTTTTTTTTTTTTTTATTAATTGTTTTAATGAACCATAAGCAATTTTCCACTGCAGCCTGCATTTAGCAAAGCTTGCCATAAGCGGCTGCTGCTGTGGGCACACAATTTTGGGGAAAATCACATTAAATTACTAAGTTTTGCTAAAACAACTGTAATCAACCTTGATATGCTTCAAGGGTCTCAGAAGGTGAGAATCCCCAGGCAGGAGCTTTGGATAGGGGATTTTTAGTCAGCAGCCACAGGGAAGGAGGAGGAGCTGTTCTTCCATGCACAGCACTGCAGAATTCCATTAAAAGCTCGTTAAGTTTGCCACAGGAGGACATTTAAAGACCATTTTGCTGACAAACGGCTCTGTCTGCACTTGAGGGGGGCAGAGGGGGAAGCCCATCCAGCTGAAATTGTTCCAGCAAGGTCACTGGGAGGCCAAAGGCTTCAGACAGCCACCATCTCTTAAAATCCACCCTGGGGGTGTGATTAAATCAGAGATTGGATCCTGGAGGAAACTGATTTATCTGCAGTTAGTGACCAGACCAGAAGAAAAGAGGTATAAAATAACACAGATTTTATAAAACCACTGTGTGACCCCGACATCCCAGCTCCAGGATTTGCTCCAGATCCAGCACCACTGAACCACACACAAACCCTGCAACCCTGAGGGAGGAGAAACCAGAAAGCAAACTGCACTCCAGCCGTGGTTTGCCACTAATTTGGGACTGAACTTCCTGGATTCAGGGCCCTGATGGGTTCTCTGTGGGACTCAGCTCTAGCAACTGCTGGCAGGAGGCTGAAGCACAAGAGAAACCAACTTGCTGGAGAAGAGCTCGTGGGCAGGACAAGTTCTCAGCAAAACAGAGCCCAAGGAAAAAATAAAAATCTCTATCAAACGTTTTAGGTATGACTGGAATGTCCATAAAAATAAGAAGGGGGTCACACATTTCCCAGAGCCCGACACAGCTGGGCCTGCTGCCTTCAGCAGCAAAATGTTCCATGGATTGGATTTTTGCAGGAGGTGAGAAAAACTCAGGCTGGAACCTCATGGATCTGAGCTGGGCTGAAAGGTGCTGTCAAGAGGCAGAAAAAAAGATCCAGGCAAGCTACAAGCCCAGAGGATGATAACTCTTGGATCACAGCTCCAGCTGCCAAGCTTGCTCCCTGCAGGACTGAATCCCAGCCCAGCTGTCTGGGACAAGAACAGGTCTAAAGCCTTTGGCACTTCTACTGCAAAAAGGGCCAGGTAGCAGGAGAAACAGTGAGCTTTCCTAGAGGGAAAATTCCCATCAGCTCTGTTTTGTCTAGAAATAAGCCAAACTTTCCCTTCACTCATGCCTAACGCGGGCTCCAGCCCCTGTGCCAGCCGGGGCTGGCAGTGACTTGGACAAACACAGAGCCCAGCGGATTCCAGGGCAGGAGCCAACCAGAAGCTCCCAGAATAGCCTCCAGCATGCAGATGTGGTGTGTTAGGATTAAAGAAGTGTCATCCTGGGAGGTACCAGAGGAACAGAGCCTGTCCAGCTGTCCCAAACAGGACACGTTTGGGAGCCCACAGGAAGCAGCTCCGGTGAAGTGTCTCGGGCTGCAAGCACTCACCAGGTGTTTATTTATGCAACAACAGGGACACAGAACTGCCTCTCTTCTCATCCAGCCTCTCCTCTCCTCCCCAGAATGTCTGTGGGTTAGGGGATTGTGTAAGAGAACTGCAGTGCACATTGCTGGTGACACCCTTCTCCCTTCCTCATCCCGTATTGGAGAGCTGGGATTTGGGTAGTTCCCCACAGCTCAAAGGGTGACGGTATCTCCCCCTCAGCCTTTTCTTCCTAGCCAGCCTCTTCCTCCTCCCACTGATTCCCTTCAGCCAAAGGCCCTGGAGGCCAGGCCAGATGTGCAGCCTGGCCTGCCTCAAGTAGCTGCCAACACTTCCCACACCCTCAAAGCACCTGCAAGAGCCAGCAGCTGGTTTTCTTCCTGTCTTGGAGCTCCGGGCTATCCTCGTGCCAAATCCAGCACAAAGAGCTGCCAACAACCACCACAGGGCCCCTGGATCAGCTGGGGAAGGAAGCTGCTCCTCAGCTGCCTGACATGGCACATCCCAAAACCAAAAGCCCCTTTCTAGTCCTAAAAGTGAGATTCCCCTTCCTAAAGTCTTCCCCACAGGCAATATCTGGCAGTAACTCAAGAGAATCCTGATGATTTGCTATTCCACACCCACTTCCAGTGCTGCTACAAGGACTGGCAGCTCCCAAAATCCTGTCCAACACAGGGACCCGAGGCAGGTACCACTCAAGCCATGTTATCACTGAAAAAACAACTCCTAAATACCACCAGCATTTATAGATGTCCCACACCCCCATTCCTTTTGGGAAGGAAAAGGCTGAGGAGCCACAGGCTCTGTACAGGAAGTCCTACAGCAGTGAGATGGAGGCAGTGTCAAGGGATCAACTTCTCCCAAGATTTGTGACTGCTGGATTATGTGATTAAGAGGAAGGGAAAAATCAGGAACACTGAAATTAGGGTTAAGGCTTGCTGGAGTAAGTCCATGGAAAAGGGAAAAGGGTTAAAAACCCAACTAAGGGACTAAGGAAAAGGATTTCTGGCTAATTTGAAGATGACTACCACCAAAAGCAGAGTAGGAGGGTAGAGATGTTGAGGTGCAACATGTCCTGCTAGTTTGTGTAAGGAGGAAAAGATCCCACTGAGGTGAATACCCACGAGCTGCCTCAGAGCTGAGACCTGCTGCCCTCCCAGCACTGGGGTGGGGGGAGAGCCACCAGAGGCTGATGAGTTGTTTTACTGGTGATTCTTTCAAAAGCCTGGGATCAAAGTTAGTGCTGATAAACCCCAATTTCAGGGACTGTAGAGCCCTGAAGCCACAATTAAGTACAAAAATGTCATATAATTCCTTTATGAAGCATCTTACCCCAGCAGCGGCCTTCCAATGAGTGTGAAGTCATCAGCACCAACCAGCAAAACCTGGAGGAAATAAATCAGGCACAAATCACTGCTCATTGTCCTGGCAGAAATGCAAACAAGACCGTTCAAATTCTACAGCCGTAAAGGAGTCAAACTGCTTCAAACCAGGCCTTCCCACATT